TAAATACAAAGGTTTTTTTAAAAATAAAAATTTAGGATTTTTTAGAGTTAATTACGAGGAAGAAAACTGGAATGCCTTAATCAGTCAGCTGCATATTGACTGCAAAGAAATACACGTGCTCAACCGAGCTCAGTTGATTGACGACGCATTTAATTTGGCCAAGGCAAACCGAGTGGATTATGCACTGGTTTTGTGGATGTCAGAATATCTAAAAAATGAAGACGATCCRATCCCGTGGTATTCAGTTAAAAATGGATTCACGTTTTTGTTGAACCGTRTGAGACGTTGTCCGAATGGTTACAAGAACCTAAAAGTAAATATTTTTTATTATTATTGAGTATCAGGGGGAAACTGGTTCGATATGATTTTGAATATCTACTGTTTTATTTATATATATTTGGATTTTTGTTCGTAATTTATCTGAGTTATAAGGCATAAGGTTGAAAAATGAAATAGTTAGCTTATAATGAGTTTAATGATATATATATATATATATATATATATTATCCATACACATTATTAATTATGTGCCACCGAATCGTGTACACATGTAGGCTTACGTTGGATACTTGGCTGGGTTGATATACACAAAAACTCAAGATCTAGTCGTGAACCATAATAGCACAGACCATACCATCAACACGGGCTGGAACGCGTTCTCRAATTGGGCGTGTAAGCTGGATAACAAGCAGTGCATAAAATCTGCTTTGTTTTACTTCCGGGAATGGCGCCGGGGTGAAAAGTAACGGGATTAATTTAATTAATTTATATCGACATTGAACAAGAAAGGTACTTGTCTTATAAATTGACATTTTTTTCAATTTTTTTCCAGTGTACCAGCCGATATCAGGGACGCGGCGTTTTGCGTCGGGGTGAAATATGGTGATTTAGGAGTGTGGAATKCCGTACTTGACGTGTACGTCCGATCTGAATCAGCGTCTGATCGACAGTCCGCTCAGTTAGCGTTGGCGTGTTCCAAAGATCAGATTCAACTGTCAAAGTAAGTATACTGTGAAATAGTAAATAAATCTGTCATGGTCTGTAGCACTGAAGTGATACCTACTCAAAAATATCGGATGTGATTTTTTTTTTTTATACTTTATAGTGTAATAACGCAAAAATAAAAAAGAATAAAATGAAAGTATAAATAAATATAACTAAGGCGCCTGCCAATATTGATAAAATTATAATGATTGGGAACTAATGCTATTGGTCTGTGTCGTTCCCTATACTTATAAGTGCTAGAGAATGATACCAGACGTAAATATTAAAATTGCGCTATTACCTTTCTCTTGATCGTTGGAGAGATCTGGAGGTCGTGATTCGAGAATAAGATCAAGTACATTGTGCAACATCATTGCATGCAAAATATGCCTACAATTCAATAATTTCAATTAATATAAAATATTATATTAATGCCTTACCCCTAACTTGCAGCTGCCTGTAGTCTATGATGTAAAAGTACAAAGTTACACAACSTAATTTATTACTCAAAACACTTGAATCGAAATAATTAAACACACTGATTATTGTTCAACATAAGGAATCCAGTTATCGCTCGCAGAATTGGGTATTGGAAGGTTGTTACTGTCGTGGATGGTGCTCATACACTGGTAAGAGTATACGACGTGGTCAAGCCGGCCAGAGCCACAGGTGGCTTCATCAAAGGCTTCTGCGATTCCAAAGAGTTAGCGTTGTCCTTGGTGACAGAGACCCTCATTGGACCATCCCTGGTCTCTGGTGGCACACGAAATAGCTCACACATGTTGAGCCAGATTTTCATAACTRTGTATAGTTTCCATGTGACCAAATAATGTAAATCGTTCCTTTCGTCAGTGATTAAAGTTGTTTTTTGAATTTTAACGATTATCTTCGTGTGACAACTTGACCGTTATTTATTTTATTGAATAGTTAAACAAMATACAATCATGATATGTTCACATATCATTAAGATAGAAATTGCTTTTAGTAATCAAACAACAAAATATTATCTCATAGTTCATATAACGACAAATGTTTTGTTTTCATAGGTATTTGGATTTCATGTTTGACGGGTACAACGGTACAATTTTGCCGCAAGACTTTAGAGTTATATACCGCACGTTGGCGTCGACTCCGCAGGGCATCGAGGCATTGATCCAGTTCTTAACYACCAAACTCGATCGGATCGTAAACGAAATAATCAACGGGGAACAAGTAGCGACGTCTATTTATGCGCTGTTGGCCTCTAATGTGGCTCGTGACGAAGAAATACAAAAGGTACTCAAATTTTCGAGCCCATAACATATAAACCTATTGGTAGGGGCATTCGTGGTGGTTATTTGATGTCTGGAAAATCACAATTTACACGAAAATAGTATACGTATGTTACAGACAAATGTTTTTATAAAAATAAGCCACGAGTCCTTGACGGATAGGTCACCCCTAGTTGTAGTATGTCATAATAATATTATAATCAATGACCATTTAGGTAATTTTTTTTTTTCATAAGTATTCACTGAAAATCAATAATATATTAATTAAATTGAAAATGTTTGAAAGATTGACAACCTGAGGAAAGACACTTCGGTATCGGAACATCTCCGACGGAAATTCGACGCATTGTACCTCAGCAGGGTAGATGACAATCTAGCGTGGTTCGACGCGCATTATTCGACAATCGGTGAATGGTCGTCTGCCGC